TATATATATATATATATATATATATATATATATACTGTATATCTCCATATACACACACACACATAATATATACAAATATTTTTCTATTCTATTCTATTATATAATATATATAGTATTTTGAGTGTTTAGATGTACCTTCCACAGATCTTCTCGCAGATATGAAACACTTCTATGTTGTCCGGCTCTCCACGCATGAAAATACGCAAGACGAACAAGCCAGGGATTGAGCTCATAACCAACTGCTGGAGAAAACCCCTGACAGCACGCTTCTAACACCTGCACACGATTAAAACAAACACATGAGCACGTTCACTACTGTTCAAAAGTTTGAGGTCGATTTAAAAAAAATAAATTAATGCTTTTATTCAGCAAGGATGCATTAAATTGATCAAAAGTCATGGCAAAGACAATCATATTGTTACCAAAGATTTGCATTTCAAATAAATACTGTTCTTTTCCACAAAAATATGAAGCAGCACAACTGTTTTCAACTTTGATAATAATAATACATGTTTCTTGAGCGGCAAATCAGCATATTAGAATGATTTCTGAAGGATCATGTGACACTGAAGACTGGAGTAATAATGATGCTGAAAATTCAGCTTTGCAGCACAGAAATAAATTATATTGTAAAATATATTAAAATACAAAATAATCATTTTAAATTGCAATAATATTCCACAATATTATGGTTTTTACTGTATTTTTGATTAAACAAAATGCAGCCTTGGTGAGCATAATAGTTTCCTACAAAGCATTAAAAAATGAAAAAGTAAGAGGATCACTCACAATCCTGCCGTCACCTGAGCCCAGGTCAGCGATGCCTCCAGATCGGCCCTTCAGGAGAGTCATGACGTTACTCACTTGAGTTCTGCTCGCTGGCATATAAGGCACCTGGAACACAGCAGCAGTCATAGGCTGATAAATCACTCCTCAAGAGCAGCATTAAGACAGACACACTCCTCAAATCTCACCTGTAATCTGAGTGGCACTCGGCGAAACCCCGGCATGAGGATTCCTGCCCAGACGGCATAGACCGCCAAACCCGTGCCCGCCGTCAGCTGCAGGACCTGCCAGCCACCCAGTCGCCTCTCTTTGAACTGCGAAAGGACTTCCTCTTGTATGTCGTCTTCCATGGCTATAGAAATAAAAACTGTATGACCACCATATCATATTTTATGTTTACACAGCCCTGAAACTTCTGATTTGCAAAAAGGCCTAAAATTACCTAATTTAATGCGTTAAAGAATATTAATAAATCTTTACACCACACACAGTGTTTTCACAGAATAAGAATGAAGATTTGAAGAATGACAAAAAGTAGTCGTCAAAATGTATCATAACTTACAACCTGCAAATTAGTGGGAAAAGTGGAAATCGGGATTAGGCATAAAATAATGTCTTCAGAATCATTCATACATGTGGAAATCGGCTGATAATTGAACAAAAAGTTGTAATCTGGCTCAAATGATGACCGGAATCATGTCTTCATGCCACATGTTTTCTGCTGATTAAGGGATTTATCATTTATTATCGTCTTCTTCACCGTTAAAACCGTCGCTTCTGGCCAAAATACAAGCCCATAGCTTCCTCCAGTGAAAAAGTTCATCCCCTGTTGTGTTTTCAAATCAAAATAAACGGTGGTGAACGGTGCTTGATATGTGCGTTTCTCTCCTGATTCAGACGAGATGACTTTTTCACTGGAGAAAGCAATGTTATGGATAGAGGGCTTGTATTTTAGCCAGAAGTAATGGTTTGAAGATACAATTATGTATTTGTTTCTAAACGCACAGCTTTTCTCGTCACAAGATGTTAGCTGATGGACTGGAGTGGTGTGGATTACTTGTGATGTTTTTATCAGCTGTTTGGACTCTCATTCTGACGGCACCCATTCACTGCAGAGCATCCATTGGTGAACAAGTGATGTAACGCTACATTTCTCCAAATCTGTTCAGACAAAGAAAAAATGTATCGGATGTCCTGAGGGTGAGTACATTTTCAGCGAATGTTAATTTTTGTGTCAACTGTTCCTTTAAATACCTGACAGGCTCATCTCTGGTTTGAGCAGGCTACTATTAGAAAAGCATCATGATTATGTCTCCTGATCCAGTAAGCTGATCAGCTGCCTCTTCTGACTTACTGTATAGTCTGTTAAGTACCAGGACCTCTTCTGGCTCTCCTCTGAGCCCACACTGATTTACCTGGGACTTTTGCAGAGCTTTTCACTGGCATCTGATGTGGCCTTATCCTGACAGGGAGTCTTGGTGGCATCCAATTTTTTGGCCTGGGAAATTTTCCTGCTTGGATCTCATCCACAAAGCTTTCTACCTTGTCAAACTTGTTGGTCAGCTCCGCCAGGTTCTCCTTAAGAGCGTTGAACTGCTTATAAAAATCTCCCACCGCGTCCGACAGGGGCTGGATCCTGTGCATAAAACATAAAATATACACATAAAAAACATGCGGGTCATAAGTTTGTCCTAAAACTCTAAAGCCAAGTATTAAATGTGGGCACTTAACTAGTCCTGCAGAAATAATTCTTCAAATCATGTGGTTGGCAAGAGGAGAGGTCATAACTTTAGAGTACTTTACTTTTAAGTGCTTTTTAGAGTACTTTTATGAGACTTTAGAGTAGATTCGTTTGATTCGGGCCAGTAATTAACCACCAAGCAATAAGTAAAACATTATTACTGGAGAAGGCTTTACAAATAAATATTATTATTATTTCATTATCTTTACTTCACAATGTCATGTTTTATTCAGTGTGTTACTTGGCATGTAATTATTTGTGTAATTCACTATCAATTTCTGACTGAAAATTATACATCAATAAAATCAATAAATTCAATGTAAATTCAAAGTAAACCCTACACCAATTTTCTTTTAGTTTAGATGAATCGTGAAAAAGTTAAAAGGTAATTAAAATAATAATAATTTCTATTAAATTCTATTAATGTCTATTTCAATTTTGGACCTCTTCTGGCTCTCCTCTGAGCCCACACTGATTTACCTGGGACTTTTGCAGAGCTTTTCACTGGCATCTGATGTGGCCTTATCCTGACAGGGAGTCTTGGTGGCATCCAATTTTTTGGCCTGGGAAATTTTCCTGCTTGGATCTCATCCACAAAGCTTTCTACCTTGTCAAACTTGTTGGTCAGCTCCGCCAGGTTCTCCTTAAGAGCGTTGAACTGCTTATAAAGATCTCCCACCGCGTCCGACAGGGGCTGGATCCTGTGCATAAAACATAAAATATACACATAAAAAACATGAGTTTGTCCTAAAACTCTAAAGCCAAGTATTAAATGTGGGCACTTAACTAGTCCTGCAGAAATAATTCTTCAAATCATGTGGTTGGCAAGAGGAGAGGTCATAACTTTAGAGTACTTTACTTTTAAGTGCTTTTTAGAGTACTTTTATGAGACTTTAGAGTAGATTCGTTTGATTCGGGCCAGTAATTAACCACCAAGCAATAAGTAAAACATTATTACTGGAGAAGGCTTTACAAATAAATATTATTATTATTTCATTATCTTTACTTCAAAATGTCATGTTTTATTCAGTGTGTTACTTGGCATGTAATTATTTGTGTAATTCACTATCAATTTCTGACTGAAAATTATACATCAATAAAATCAATAAATTCAATGTAAATTCAAAGTAAACCCTACACCAATTTTCTTTCAGTTTAGATGAATCGTGAAAAAGTTAAAAGGTAATTAAAATAATAATAATAATTTCTATTAAATTCTATTAATGTCTATTTCAATTTTTCTATTATGTCTTTGCAGTTTTAATGAATTTTATTTCAGTTTTAGCTATTCTAGTACATCAAGTTAAACTAAATAAAATTATGAGATACTGTATGTTGCCTTATATGTGTCCCAACTACCTGAAATAAAATATATTTTGTATATATTTTATTTCATCTAAAGTTTACTTTATTTCAATTGAAAATTCAATTTTGTTTCATGATTTTAGTTTTAGTTAACTATAATATCCCTGATCCATTCTGGTATTTTACTTAATCTTAACTCAAGATTTCATTCATGTATAGTGGCAATTAAGAGTTGTAAAAATCACAACCCTCAGATGAAATAAATGTTAACAACCCATTACTCTGATGTTCTGAGATGGATAAACAACATTTTCTGAACATTTTCGCTGATAAAAAAGTCCTGAAGTCCAGAAAAGTTAAAAGGGTAATTAAAAAAAAAATGAAAAAGCAATATCTTAAAAAATTAACTTTATATGTCCATATACATTTTCAAATAAAATTCACGAAAATGTCAACAACCCATGGCTAGAATCTACATTGTAATCGTCGTTTTATTTCAAACAGTATAGCGTAATCGTACCCCAGTGACACATTTTGCTGGCACAGAGGTCGGGTAATAAAAGTAAATGATGGTTTGTAGCAGTACTAGTTAGAAATGAGGTCGTAATTATGCACAAGAAACCTTTTATGCATGATTAACGGGGCTTGAAGCTGCTGAGCAGATTTTAGGCTTGGGATCAAAGGTCCTGCACCTTAGAGAAAGCACATATTGTGCAGATTAAGTGGTTTATTTTAGTCAAAGCATATTTTGCATTAATAATCATTTCCTTTTTGCCATATGATCCCAATTTTCTCCGGTTGCTGCGAAAAAAAGTCACAAAGAAAATGTCCAGACGGCCTGAGGCTGGAGTGGACTGCAAAATGCGTGCCATGGACAGACCAGACAACGTTTTATGAAACCAAACACCTTCAAAAGTCACCACAGCACTTCACAACCCACCTGACATATTCTGGTAAGATGGACGCGTGATCATTGACCAGCATGTCCTTCACCTGGTACATGATGGCATATTTCCAGTTGTCCAGAACCTGTGTCAGGTTTGAACAGCTCCTGCTGTTTGGCTTGTCTGTGAAAAGTGAAAAAAATTTTTGCCATTAGATGCATGTCCCCGAGTTTTTTTCTCCACTTAATTTAATTTATTCATATACCTTTTAGCACTAGATTTTACATCATTTCAGTCAGTGACAGGTCGAATGTTCAATAAAGTTGAACGTTCGACCAACAAACACACAACTGGAAGCAAATTGAGGCAAGTAAAATTTAAAAAGTGTGATTTCTCATCAAGATTATTTTTATTTTCTCAAAGGCCCCTTCTTAACATATTTGCACTGTTTACAAAATAACAATAGGCGCTTTCAATTAATTTAGGGCACTTATTGGAGTCCCATAATTTTTTCCCTAATGTAATAAAGGTACTGCATGTGCCAAAATCAAATATTCAACTCAACTGCCAAAGTTAATATAATAAAAATGATCAAACATTAATAAACACGGCTAAACACATATATTATTCTTTAAAGAATTAGAAGTACAAGCTCATCCATTGCTACAAACCAACAAACTAGCAACCTGTGTTCTTTTATGATTATTTTCAATGAATTAATATCATTATTTTTACATTTTGTTTTAATTTTAGTTGTTTTATTAATATGTTTTATTAATTTTGCTCTATATAATAACCCTGTTCCATTCTGGCATTTTTTTTTTAAATCACTAACTTAGCATTGTATTAATGTGTTTATTTAATTCTTATTGCTAGAAAAAAAAACTCACAAATCAGAGTTTTAAACTATATTCATATTTTTAAAACAAATCTGTAAAAATAGGGCACATTAAAATGAAGGAATTATTTGAATTTCATTGTATTGTGTGTGTGTGTGTGTGTGTGTGTATATACAGTATATATATATATATATATATTTTGCAACCCCATCCTGAGCTGCATAAACATTATTTTCTGAAAGTTTAGCATCTTTCACTGATTACATGAAGCATTTTGGGATCTATTTTGCACCCTGTTGGTAAAAATACTTTATCCTCTAAAGTATTTTGGAGATATTGTACAAACACTTGCAGTATATCCTCACAACTTCTCTTTAAGAGTGAAATGTTAGATAAGTCGGTATTTTTCTTACAGTTCCTCACATCACCTGTGCCAACTAATAGAAAACACCAGTATAAATTTTGAGAGATTTTACCTCGGTTGTCCCACTCGGACATGTCCTGGGTCCATTTCTTCTCTGCGGCACACAGACAGACCAGAGACAGCAGGTTCAGAGCGCTCCTCATTCTCATCCTCATCCTCCTCAGAGAAACAACAGTGATGTCATTCACGATGGATACAAACCTACAGCATTTACTGCAGACACATGGTCTGACATTTATAAGAGTTTATGACTTTCAGCATATGCTTCACACATTCACAAACACTTCAGAGGTGGAATGAGTTAAATCAAATCTGATGAAGGGCTTCATTGGCTGGTCTGGTAAACAGACTGTTGACGGACACGCTGCAAGAGAGTGCAGGGTAAATGTCGAGCAGCTGCAGAAAACACAGAGTATCTGCAAAGACTAAAAATGCTCCAAACAAGATCTCACTGGAATAGTTAAAGGTCAGATGGTGCGCTGGAATAATATTTGAGTTGTGGTCCAGGGTAAATACCTCAGTTCCTGTGCTGGAGGTTTGTTCCAGTGGT